TTCACTATATCTGGTCTCTCTGGACCCCTGCATTCACTATATTTGGTCTCCCCCGGACCCTGCATTCACTATATCTGGTCTCACCCAGGACCCTTGCATTCACTTATATCCTGGTCTCCCCTCGGACCCTGCAGTCACTATATCCTCGGTCTCCCCCGGACCCTATTTCACTATATCCGGTCTCCAGGACCCTGCATTCACTATATCCGGTCTCCCCGGACCCTGCAGTCACTATATCGGGTCTCCCCGACCCCTGCATTCACTATATCCAGTCTCCCAGGACCCTGCATTCACTATATTTATCACGGTCTCCCCGGACCCCGCAAATTCACTATATCCGGTCTCTCGCCGGACCCTGCATTCACTATATCTGGTCTCCCCGGGACCCCTGCATTCACTATAATCAGGTCTCTCCCGGACCCCGCTTTCACTATATCCGGTCTCCCCGGACCCGCATTCCATTATATCCGGTCTCCCGCGGGACCCCGCATTTCACTATATCTGGTCTCACTGGACCCAGCATGTCACTATATCTGGTCTCCCAGGACCCTGCAATCACTATATCCAGTCTCCCCAGACCCCGCATTCACTATATCTGGTCTCACTACTGGACCCAGCATTCACTATATCTGGTCTCCCCGGACCCTACATTCACTATATCCGGTCTCCCAGGACCCTATGCATTCACTATATCCGGTCTCCCCGGACCCTGCAGTCACTATATCTGGTCTCCCCGGACCCTGCATTCACTATATCCAGTCTCCCAGGACCCTGCATTCACTATATCCGGTCTACCCCGGACCCTGCATTCACTATATCCGGTCTGCCCGGACCCTGCATTCACTATATCCGGTCTCCCACAGTACACACAACATGGAAATACAATTATTTTAGTAAATATAAACTACTAAAAACCTTTTCTCATCAGCAGTTAGATCAGTCTTGTGACTTCTATCAGTGTCCAGCAGAGCACTGGTTAAACCACTTGCCCTCCAGAGGATTCCCCCTTTCCCTTCCTGACCAGGCCATTTCTTGCGATACTGCGCTGCATTAATTTAAACTGACAATTGCTGTGGTCATGCAATGCTGCACCAAAATTAAATTTACGTCCTTATTTTCTCCACAAATAGAACTTTTTGGTGGTATTTTACCGCCTCTGAGTTTTTTTTTTTTGCGCTATAAGCAATAAAAGACAGAGGCTTTTGAAAAATAATATTTTTGACTTTTTGCTATTGAACATGTGCAGTATAAAAAATAAAAAATAAAAATTATAAATTTCAGCTAAAATGTATTCTGCTCCGTGTCTTTGCTAAAAAAAATCCCAATACGTGTAAATTAATTGGTTAATGTGAAAGTTATAGTGTCTACAAATGGCGGTATAGATACTGGAATTTAAATTTTTTTTTATATACTAGTAATGGCGGCGATCAGTGACTTATAGCAGGGCTGTGGGGGAAATTCTGACACTGGAGGGGACTGACAAACTGCCACTGACAGCCCCAGTGACACTAATACAGTGATCAGTGCTAATAAAAAGCACTGACACTGTACTAATGGCACTGGGCAGGAAGGGGGTTAACAATGAGGGCAATCAAAGGGTTAACTGTGTGCTGTTTTACTATGGGAGCTGTGTGTGGAGGATGCAGAACCCTTGACCTCTGTCTGGACCAGGGGCAGACTGACCATTCGAGCACTCAGGCACTTCCGAGGGCCCGGGGTCAGTAAGGGCCCCATGAAATGCCCCTGGTACCTTTTTATAGGCTTTTGTGGGTGTACTTTAAGTGTGGGCAAGGACACAGGGACCCCATGATCCCCTATTGCCCGGGGGGCCCCCATGAGTTGTCAAACCGCCCCTTTCAGAGTTTTGAAATACTTGCCTTTGCTGGTTTCTTTTCACATAAAAGGTCCCAAGTACTGGAAGCAATGCTCCATTGCAATGGAACTTCATGTTCCTAGAAGTCTGCAGTCACGTGACCATTCAGAGCTGTGGAAGCTGACAGTGAGGTCATGGAAACTTCAATCATGTAAATCAAATATAATATGATTGTAGTTATGTACTGACAACTCATGGGGCCCCCGGGCAATAGGGGATCATGGGGCCCCTGTGTCCTTGCCCAAACTCAAAAAAGCCTATGAAAAAGTTACCAGGGGCATCTCATGGGCCCCCTACTGACCCCGGGCCCTCGGGCAGTGCCCGAGTTTCCAAAATGGTCAGTCCGCCCTGGTTATGTAGCAGTGTGATTCAGAACAGACCATTGTTTGTATAGCAAGAACCCAACCTTGAGATGCTTTCCGTATGAAGACCACAAGAGGACACCTTCCCTGACAGCACAGAGGAGTTCTATTAGAAACCAATGTTGTCCTTGCACTGTTTTATATTTCCTGGAGCTGTTCAGAGGCTTCAGCTGAAGACCAGGCAAACGACTGAGCACATAGATGCAATACACATACACCATATTGCCAAAAGTATTGGTCGACCGGCCTTTCCACACACATGGACTTTAATGTCCTCCCAATCTCAGTCCGTAGGGTTCAATATTGAGTTGGCCCCGCCCTTTGCAGCTACAACAGCTTCAACTCTTCTAGGAAGGCCGTCCACAAGGTTTAGGAGGGTGTCTATGGGAAGGTTGGACCATTCTTCCAGAAGCACATTTGTGAGGTCAGGCACTGATGTCGGGGGAGGGAGGCCTGGCTCGCAGTCTCCGCTCTAATTCATCCCAATGGTGTTCTATGGGGTTGAGGTCAGGACTCTGTGCAGGACAGTCAAGTTCCTCCACCCCAGACTCACTCCTCCATGTCTTTATGGACCTTGCTTTGTGTACTGGTGTGCAGTCATGTTGGAACAGGACGGGGCCATCCCCAAACTCTTCCCACAAAGTTTGGAGCATGAAATTGTCCACAATGTCTTGGTATGATGACACCTTAAGAGTTCCCTTCACTAGAACTAGGGGGCCAAGGGGGTGAACAGGGGGTGAACAACAACCCACACACCATAATCTCCCCTCCACCAAACTTTACACTTGGCACAATGCAGTCAGGCACGTACCGTTCTCCTGGCAACTGCCAAACCCAGATACATCCATCAGATTGTCAGACAGAGAAAGAGTGATTGGTCACTCTAGAGAACATGTCTCCACTGCTCTAAGAGTCCAGTGGCAGGCGTGCTTTACACCACGGCATCCGATGCTTTGCATTGCACTTGGTGATGTAAGGCTTGGATGCAGCTGCTCAGCCATGGAAACCCATTCCATGAAGCTCTCTACACACTGTTGTTGGGCTCATCTGAAGGCCACACCAAGTTTGGAGGTCTTTAGCTATTGACTTTGCAGACAGTTGGTGACTTCTGCGCACTGTGCGCTTCAGCATGCGCTGACCCCGCTCTGTCATGTCATGTGGCCTACCACTTGGTGGCTGAGTTGCTGTTGTTCCCAGTTGCTTCCACTTTGTTATAATCCCACTAACAGTTGAGCGTGGAATATTTAGTAGCCAGGAAATGTCACGGATGGACTTATTGCACAGGTGACCACCTATCACGGAACCACGCTTGGAGTCACTGAGCTCCTGAGAGCGACCCATTCTTTCACCAATGTTTGTAGAAGCAGTCTGCATGCCTAGGGGCTTGATTGTATACACCTGTGGCCACATGGAGGAGATTGGAACACCTGAATCACATGATTTGGAGGGCGGGGGACCAATACTTTTGGCACTTTAGTGTATATGAACTGTCTTGTATGCTAAAGCATTTGTAAATCTCTCCAACCACTTGCCTGGTTCCCTTCTGCCCTAAAGCACACCCAGGAGAAGGACACAACTTTCTCCTACAGAGTTGAGGAATACTGTGGTGTGTCCTCCCTGCCCACAGCCTGCTGATTAGACAATGGAGGAGCACTAAAATGATGAGAAGTCATCAACTCTGCCCATTATGCTCTTCCCTCCAGTCAGCATAGGTCCCGCCAGGACCTGAGCAAAGTCACCTAACTGGTTCTTGGTTGCTGCTCCTTTCGCTGTCATTCTGAGTGCTGCTGTGAAGGGGATGACAGGAGACTGATATAGAGATAAATGTAGGTATTTTTAAACTGAGGACTAAAGGAACACATCCTTACTATCAGGGGCGGACTGACCATTTGGAAACTCGGGCACTGCCCAAGGGCCCGGGGTCAGTAGGGGGCCCCATGAGATGCCCCTGGTACCTTTTTCATAGGCTTTTTTGAGTGTGGGCAAGGACACAGGGGCCCCATGATCCCCTATTGCCCGAGGGCCCCATGAGTTGTCAGTCCGCCCCTGCCTACTATGCAATGTAGACGAGGAGAGGGGGTGGTGTTAGTATTTGAAATTAGGAGGACACCCTAGGGTGACAATGCTGCTTCTCAATAGATGCAGAGTGGGCATAGTCACTGCAGAACGGGAAATGTATTATTGGCAGGATCACCAGGTAAATAAAAAAAAAACGTACCCACTTGTAGACATGTTTGGTTTGTTTCTTACCGAATAGAAATTCGGATAAATTTTTTTTCATTATTCAGAGATTCGGATGTATCCGAACTTCTGAATTACAACAGTAATGAATTTAAATGAATCTGAAATAGTGAAACAAAATACTACCAGAAATTCAAATCGGAATCAAATTTTAAAAATGGAATAGAATTTGAACACAAAAATAGACTGAAATAGAATAGAAAATAAAGGAATAGAATAGAAAAGAATAGAATAGAAAATACAAAAGAATAAATAGAATAGAGTAAAACAGAACAGAATAGAAAAGAAAAATAAACTAATAAAATAAAATAGAAAATAATAGAATAGAATAGAAAATAAAAGAACAAAATAAAAGAGTAGAAAATAAGGGAATACTTGTGAACTTGCTACTTGTGAAGATTTTCAACGATTTCTTGCGCTTTGCAGTGCGATTTCCATTATATTCTATGTATGTGAAATCGCAAAAACAAAACTGCAGAAAATGTAATGCAGGAACTACTTTAGAAACTAGAATTTTTTCTGCATCCAAAACGCACAGAAAGTAGGTGATATGGTTGTCAATGTCATAGTTCACATCAGTGCTTACAGTTCCAGTGCGTTCCGGTTGCAGAAAAAAAAGTAGAACAGGTTGCATTTTTTCTGCACAGAACTGTACTGGAATGCGGTTAAAAGGCACATGTCCCTATTTAAATTGAAGAAAAAGAGGGGAAAAATTAACTGGAATGCATAAAAAAAAGTCACTGGAATGCGCCAAAAAAACACGCATGTAAAAATGCATCTGGAACGCATCTGGATTGTGTTTCTATAGTTTGAACCAACCCTAAATTGGAACCGTGTTCCCATTGTCACAAGTCTACTTGTGTGTACCTCTTCTCCAGCTAAGGGTCTGTGATCCTATACTCTTTGTTTATGAGCAGTGCTGTATAAAACAATGGCAGTTCTCTCATCCCAGGGATTGTCAGTTCTCTCATCCCAGGGATTGTCAGTTCTCTCATCCCAGGGATTGGTAG